GAAAGGGTGGAGCCCAAGGAGGGGAGACTGCAGACGGGGAACTAGGGGGCCAGGCATGTGCCTCATCCTCAGCCTTGGCAACCTCTGCCACTGTGTCTGTGTGTCCTCTACCCAGAACATCTAGGTCTGCCCAGGGCAGTCAGTCCTTCCATCCTCACCCCTGCTCCCCAGAACAGACTGAGGAAGTGGAAAGTTGAGAGTGAGTTGGGGAACAAACAGGGAGCTCTGGTTTCTGTTTCTCCAGTTATTCATGACTGGATGAATGAATGAATACCTTATAAACACTTAACATACAGTAACCAAGCCACCTTGGGAGAATGGAAAGATCAGATGTGGCGAAGGTCATGGTAATTCCTATGATTGCTTGTGGCTACCAAGAGATGGGTTTCTGGTAAAGGTGTGAGTGTAGCAGGCTCAGTCAGTACCAATGGTGAAGGGCTGCCCAGGGGACAGAAGGACACAGTAGCCACACTGCAGCATGCCTGCCACCTTGGTTTAGGAAGTCGCATTTGAGCTGGGACTAGAACTGCGTGCTCTGGGAAAGGGGACAATGTAGAAGAAGTGAGAGGTGTCCCTGTAAAAGGGGCTGACATTGGCCAAAACTTAGGTGGGTGAAAGGGAGCAACAGACGAGAGGCTAGAGGGAGGTGGGCCATGAAGGGCTTTGTCTTCTCAAATTGTGGATTCCTTTTGTGTTATCCATTCCCTGACCTCAATCCCTATTGGTTCCCAAGCTTTTTTCAAGTCTCCATGGCTCAGTGGACCCTCAATAAAGATTTGGTAGAAAAAGAAATATGCAGCTGGGGTTCCGTAGGAACCAGTGTGGGCCTGTAAATAAACAACTCTCTCAGCTCAGGAGTGGCTGGACTAACTAAGTAGTTTCAGGAGCCAAAAGTAAGCCACTGGCCAACTCCAGGCACATTAATTATAAGCAGTTGCTATAAAGAACAAGTGCTGGCGAGGATGTGAAGCAAAGGGAATCCTTGTGCACTGCTGGTGGGAATGCAGACTAGTGGAGCCACTGTGGAAAGCAGTATGGAGTTTCCTCAAAAAATTAAAAATGGAACTGTCATATAACCCAGCAATTCCACTTCTGGAAATATATATAAAGAAACCTGAAGCACTAATTCAAAAGAATATGGGCACCCTATGTTCATTGCAGTATTATTTGCAATAGTCAAGATGTGGAAGCAGCCCAAGGGTCCATACAAAAATCTGAGGCACAGTTACACAATGGAATACTATGCAGCTATAAAAACAAACAAACAAGAAAATCTTACCTTTTGAGACACCATGGATGGACCTGGAGAGTATTATGCTAAGTGAAATAAGCTAGTCAAAGAAAGACAACATATAGTTTCACTCATATATGGAATCTAAGGAACAAAATAAACTAACAAAATGGAAACAGGCATATAGATAGAGAACAGACTGACAGTTGTCAGAGGGAAGGAGAGATTGTGGAGCTGGGTGAAAAAGGCGAAGGGATTTAGGGGGGAAATAACACAAAAAAAGCCACAACAATTAATAAATTATAAAAATTATAAGCAGTTGTTTTTTCTTTGACATGTACTTTTCTAGATATAGAGAGAATTATCCAAACTCTAAGCAAAAGGGCTTATAACCAAGGTAACCAACATCATATCAAAAGTATAATAATGTAAAATGTAAATTTAAGACATGATTATATATGATACTAGAGGCCCAGTGCATGAAATTCATACATTGGGGGCTCCCTCAGCCCAGCCTTCACCCTCTCATAATCCAGTACCCCTCGGGGGATGTCCAACTGCCATTTTAGGCCCTTTCGCAATCTGGGACTGCTGACTCCTAACCACCTGCCTGCCTGCCTGATTACTCCTAACCACCCTGCCTGCCTCCCTCATTGTCCCTAACCACTCTGCCTGCCTGCCTGATCACCCCTAAACACCTCTGCCTGCCTGCCTGATTGCCCCTAAACATACTGCCTCATTGACCCTAACTGCTCACCTGCCTACCTGATTGCCCTTAACTGCCTCTGCCTCAGCCCCCACCACTGTGGCTTCATCTGGAAGGTCGTTCAGCTGCCCGGTCTAATTAGCATATTACGTTTTTATTATTATAGATAATCCAAACTATGTTTTCCCCCTTCATTGATCTTGGCTGATAATTCTCACTGGTCTTTAATAAGAGTTATAACATTTAGCAATGTTATAACATTTAGCAATGTTATAACTCTTATTAAAGACCAGTATTATTATTATTTTTTTAATTGTTTTCAGAGAGAAAAGGAGAGGAAGAGAGAGATAGAAACATCAATGATGAGAGAGAATCATTGATTGGCTGCCTCTTGCAGGCCCCTACTGGGAATCAAGTCCACAGCCTGGGCATGTGCCCTTGACCAGAATAGAACCCAGGACTCTTCAGTCCACAGGCTGGTGATCTAGCCTCTGCGCCAAACCAGCTAGAGCATGAGTATTACTTTTAAAAAATAAACCAGTAGAGCTCTTTGAAGAACCATCATTCTCCTCAAAAGGATGCTGGGTGCAAAAGAGATATCCTTTCCTACTGAGGAAGTGACTAGCCATTGTCATTTCTCTAGAAACCACTTTAACTGGCTATATGTTTTTAAAACACCCACACATAAAAATCCAACATCCACTAAAAAGGCCACTTTAAGTCCTAAGAGTATGTGGCTTTTAGAAGCTTAAACAGGATTAGCCACCACCTCTTATCTTTCACCCAAGCTCATCCTCTTTCACACATTTTATAGAACACAAATCATGACAATTAAACAAAGACAATAAGGAGAACGTGCTATTTTGACCAGAAACCAGAAGGCCTGTTCATGGAGACGTAATTATGGAAGGAACAGCCTAAAAAACCAATCTGACTGCTGCTGCTCCTCAGGCAAAAATGAACTCGGCCCGCTTGCTGGCATCCACAGGCAGCCTCTCTACGGATGTGTTGCACGACTAAGCACCAGACAGGACAAAAAAAGCAACAGAAGCTCTTTGGAAATTAACACAGCTTAGTTGATGACACACTTTTTCTTTCCCTTTCCTCTGTGCCTATATGTTTAAAGCTGGAGAAATAAAAGATAACAAAAACTAAATGAGGGCACCGTTTTAGCTCGTTATGTCAAAGGAGAACACAGATCTGGCTTTGGGTTTCATGACATTGAGAAAAAAATATTCCCTTAAACATGGCCAGCACTGTTCTTCCAGGAACAGCTGGTGATTTTGACACAGTGGCCAACATCACCTTCCTGGTGTCACCAATTGAAAAACCGGTCTGCCCCTGGCAGTGTTACTAAGCCATGGCCTCTGCTATGCTGAGCTTCTGCCTCCAAAGGCTCCTCAGCCCTCCATACTAGTGTTCAATGGGAAGAAAAGCCACGACTAAAAACAAACAGAATAGTCCTCACCTGTTTGGCTCAGTGGAATGAAGGGTCCTGGTCAAGGGCACATGTTTGATTGCATACTCAATCCCCAACCCCAGACGGGAAGTGTAGAGGAGACAACCAATCAATGTGTCTCCCTCACATTGTGGTTTCCCTCTCTCTGTCTCTCCTCCTTCCTTGCATTATCTCTAAACATCAATGGAAAAATATCCTCAGGTGAGGATTAACAAAAAACAACAACCACAAAACCAGAACAGTAGAGCTGAACTTTCAGTAATGGAAAAATCCTGAAAATCTTTAAAAACTGTGGAGGTGTTCTGAAGGAGAAACACATCGGTTCTTTGAAAAATAGCCCTCCTCAGGGACTGACTGAGAATTGATATAGAGTTTACACAGTGAATTTATGTAGTTGTAGCAAAACCACATACTTAGAAAGCAGATTCAAGTACACTTTTCTCCCAAATAAGCCAGGGCATCATCAGCATGGTCTCTGTGTTTAGGGCAGGGATTGAACTATCCAGGGTAACGAAATAATTCCAGGACCCGCTGCTAGCACCACTTGTAGTATAATAAATAAAGGGGTCGGAAAGCAAAAGAAAAAACAGCCCAGGATCAAGGTAGTCCATGGACAGGCTATTTTTTTGGGGGGAGGGGGAGAGGCTTGAGGGAACAGGGTCAGAGGATTCTGTGCAGCCCCTTAAATAGTATATATTCATATATTCATTTTTCTGGAGAGTGTCTATAGCTTCCAGAAGATTCTCAAAGAGATCCCTGACACTCCCTATTCTCACCCTCACACACATGTTGAGTGAGAGGGAGCCCTCACCACGCAGTGTGATTCCTTGTAACTACATAATAAGACAGAGGGTGTTTTTCCCTCAAGAAAAAAACAAAAACTTTTAATATAATTGGGTTTATTCATGCTCAAACAGTGGTGCAGTAAATGTGCATAATAAATCTCTATAATGATTTTTAATTGTAAAAGTATTCTCCAGCTGCCATCAATATATTATATGTGGTGGTTTACAGAATTTCTCACAGAAAGCGTTAAAAAACAAAAAAACAAAAAAACAACAACACTTTACTGCTTTGTTAACCTGGTATAGAACCAACAAGCTACTCTCAATAAATATTAATTAATGAAGGATTAACTACACAATTTTGTTTGTTCTCCTGAAATTCATAAGAGCTTCTGTGGGAGGTGAATTGAGACCTAGGTTGCTTTAAATTACAACAGCAGAACTAAAAATCTGAGGGAATGCCTCGCTGTCAGCCAGGCCTGAGGTCAATGTTGACTTTGGGAAGGGGGGGGGGGGGGGTGTCAATGCTGGACTTTGAGGTCTAATCCTATCATGAGAGGCCGGAGCACACAAGAGACTTGTAGACATGCAGAGACAGCAGGAAGTCATAGGACAGTGGCACAGTTCACAAGACAACCCCCGGCGTGAAACACAACCCATCTTGTGAATACTCTCAGTCTTCACAAAGAAAATGGGAGAGCTGACTTTTTCCCATGTCGGCTCTGCTTCTCCCTGAAGGACCGGTGACACTCACCCCCAAGCCCCATACCATGAACAGGCCTTTTTGCTTAGAAGGGAGAGACCAAGAGAGCCACTTACCGGATGCAGGCGGCTGCTCACTGGAGGGGCTTCCAGCCCCAGGACCTGCCCTGCTGGATCTGGGAGGCTGCCCATCAGCCTGCTCCCAGGGCTGGCCTCCGCCCTCCGCCTCTTCAGCTGCTTCTTCAGGCGGAAGGCCCATGCCGTAGGCGCACTGGGGCAAGGGTCCACTTTTGAGGGAATCCAAAAAGGGTTCCCGGTCCTCCCTAGAAGGGCTCCCGCAGCCTGTGCAGCTATCTGCTGGAGTGGAGGCCGCCCAGTGGGGACAGTGGCCGCCCTCCACTTCCCTTTGCAAGTACTTTTCGGAGGCCACGGGCATCCAATCGGTCCTGCACGGGGGCTCGGCGGCTACATGGCAGCTTTCAGCATCCGGCAAGCTCTCCGTTCCAGTGAAGGCCTGGCTTAGACTGTCATCCTCCCCCACCTCCAGGGGCTCCGGGAAAGGGGGTGAGCATCTGCTTCCCGGCCCAGCGAGGCGCAGTAAGGAGCCTGGGGGGTGGGGCGGCCGGTCCACGTACTCGTCTTCCGTGGGAATCTGCTTGAAGGAGTCGCCCTCCACCTCGCTGACCAAGGTGAGCATCCTGGTGTCTTCTGCCTGGGCGTCCCCGCAGGCCCCCGCTCCCACCTGGCAGCACAGGTCTTCCGAGAACAGCTTCTCCTCCAGGGTCAGCAGTAAGACCCCGTCGCAGAGTCCCCGCTGGCTGGAGGCTTCCAGAGGAGTGCGGCCAAAGCTGCTCCCTGAGGGTTCCTGCTGGGCGACATTGGGGAGGCAGGAGGATGGATACTCAACTATGAGAACAGGGTTCCCCGCTAAACGCTGCCGAAACTGGGGTTCGTTTCCACCGTCAAAGTACAGGTGGAACACTCACTAGGTAGCAATCCGTGTTCTTTAAAATGACATAGTGGGGAAGACCCCTAGCATAGGATGCAGCCAGCCACCAGTGAAATCTGACTGCATTTCACATGAATAGCATGTTCCTATTTAAACAAGGGCAGGAGTCAACCCAGATGACTCCACAACACGGAATTTAGACTATAGACTCTCAATCTAAATGAAACAACAAAACAAAACACAAAACCCTCTAAGGAAATACTGAACTCAAAGTCAGTCGCTCTGTTTTTTTGTTGTGATGGGGGTTAGTAATTGAAAGTACTTTCTATGTATTCTGGAATTGAGAATAATAGGAGGCAGGTTTCCTGCTGTTGGAGAAAACATGATTCAAGGAACAAGGAAAGATCAGAAAGTGCTGCTGGGACTGGAGAAATCAGTATGAGCTCGTCGTGGTTTAAAATGTATACATTTTTATACCTAAGAAAACAGATCTAAAGGACATAGTGAGATAACTAGTGAAGTTTCAATATCAAGTGTGGGTTTGATAATAGTATTGTACCACTATTGAATTTCTTGATTTTGATAAATTAACTCTGGTTATATAAAAAAAAAAAGTCCTTATTCTTAAGAAATTCCCAGTGAGGTGTTTAAGATACTGAAGCACAATTCACTCTAAAATGGTTCAAGAAAAAAAAATACCATATAGATACAGAGATACACACATAGATAGCAAAGCCCGGCCAGTATTGCTCAGTGGTTGAGTGTTAACCTATGAATCAGGAGCTCACAGTTTAATTCCCCATCAGGGAATATGCCCCAGTTGCAGGCTCAGTCCCCAATGTGGATTGTGCAGGAGGCAGCCGATCAATAATTCTCCCTCATCTTTGATGTTTCTATCTCTCTCTCTCCTTCTCCCTTCCTCTCTGAAATCAATAAAAAAAATATTTTTTAAAAAGAGAGCACAAATAATATAGCAATATGTTTAAACAACTGGTAGACCTGAGAATAGGGTATGTGGAAGTTCTTTGTACTATTCTCACTGCTTCTCTGTAATTTTGAAATGATATCAAAATTAATAGTTATCAAAATAACTAACTACAAAGTAAAAGAAAATGGAAGTTCTTTTCGTCTGGAATCTAGGCAATTATGAAAGACACTAAAGAGAATATGATTAATATCTGTACACAGAGGTGACAGAAATGGAATGCAATACAAAGAAAGAAGCATTTAGGAAGAGTACTGACCTGGGCTTTGGGTTATTCTGTGGGGATCAGCCCTGGGATTCGGGGCTGATCCCCACAGGGGAACTTGTGCTAAGAGGAACTTTCCTCTCAAGAAAGTTCCTCTTAGCACAATGGGGCTTAATATTTGACTAAGAACTATCTCAGCCTAATTGTTAAAAGTACTATGAGGAGCACTTAACACTTTTAAATTTACCTTATTTCCACTTAGGTGGCCACATGTCTCGTTGACCCAGCGCCACAAATTAGCTAGAAAAACAAAGCAAAGATAAGATCTTCATATTGCTTCCTATTTCTAATTCAATATCACTGAGTACTATGTCATTTCCATATTATCTTTATACATAATCCTCTGTAAGTTTTTCAGAGAGACTTCTTGAGAGTGAAAACGTTCAAAAGAAAATCAACATTTTAAATACTATTAAGACATCTTACCCATCCTGCTCCATCAAAAACAAAACTTTGTGATCCATACAAAGCCAAATATGATATATTAATGTCCCATCCATTAAATACCTTCGGGCACATTTAAGGGTACCAGAGCTGCTGCTAGGATGACAGACACTCTCAGACCCTTAGCAATTAGTCTTTGACTACAAGGGTCTAGGCTGGGCATTGTGGGAAAAGGAGACAACGTGGGTCTAGGAGACTGACTTTCCAGTGAACCAGCTCAAATATACGTACAACAAAAGTCGGGTGCATGTTGGAAGGCTGCGGCAGACCCCACTGAGTTCCAGCAGACCCGAAATCTTTTCCCACTATACTCTGTTGCTTCTCAGAAGAGAAGAATAGATTCTGTGGTATATATAAATTATGTCCTTGGCAACTTTTTAAAATAGACATGATAAGATTTAAAAAGTCAAATCCATGAGTTAAAAAAGAAAAACTATGAAATTATATCATGCAAAGATAAAATTTTATTCCACCTATGCTTGAATTCATGGGTTGTCAATTCTCCATAAGAAGATAATCAAGTCATAATCATAGTTAATGGCACCTAAGATGTGGCCTTGCCCAGTTTTTTTTTTTAACTTCTCTGAGCCTCAGTTTCCTTACGATGAAACCAGGGAAATAACAGTGCCTACTTCCTAGTGCTGTTGGGGAGATTTAGTTAGTACATGTAAAATACATACTGCAGTGTCAGTTATTGCTGTCATCATCATCATCATCATCATTATTCCATTATTATAAAATTACATAAAAATAAAGGTACCCCAAATAAAAGGAAAATTGCAACTTTTTTTGTAGACAATTACAAATGGTGCCAAAATATTTGTGCACAAAGATAATAATCATAACTACTATGACAATCTTTCTCCTAGGATATTATTTGTGCTTACTTATACATAAATAAACACAATGGATTTTATTTGTTTTGCCAGAGAACAATGAATTAGGTATAAAGGGTGTTTGATCTTAGTTTAAGCACAACCACCTCAAGGCACTTACTTTAAGCAGATTGCTGGATGTAGTCAATAGGCAACATACACATCTTGCAAAGCATATATCAATTTTTAAGATTCATTTTCTAAATCCCCCATAGACACCATACCTGTTAGTGCTTTCCCTTTTTTCCTGTAGTAAACACCAGAGATGACAGCAGCGACTAATGCCACAGATACGAAGAGAAGCAGGATGATCAAACTGGGCAAGAAAATCTGGGGCTCTGTATCAGAAAAATATTGAAAAATGGTATTAAAAGTGATTTCATTTTCATCTCTAAGCTCAAAAACAAAACCCTTTACATCAGGGCCTAGAATCAAGGATGCTGGTATGGAATAAGAGAAATATGAAGGCCCCATCCCTGATTGCAGGTTTGTCATGGAGCACTCTTGTTCCAAAGAGCGGAGTCACCAATGTGGCCAGGTCCCACTGTCCAATGTCACTCCAGTGAGGCCAGTCCAGGACCATCATAAAATGCTTCTACTTCAGAACAACTCAAATCCTGTTTACCAGGCCATTCAGCTCCATCTTTGCTCACCTATGGACACTTCAGTCTCTCCAAGAGACCAGCCTACTAGGCAAAAGGAAGCCCCTTATCATACCTCTTTCCAAATAACCACATGGCACCAGAGTTGTCATTTTTTTTAAAATATATATTTTATTGATTTTTCACAGAGAAGAAGGGAGAGGGATAGAGAGTTAGAAACATCGATGAGAGAGAAACATGGATCAGCTGCCTCTTGCACACCCCCTACTGGGTATGTCCCCGCAACCAAGGTACATGCCCTTGACTGGAATCGAACCCGGGACCCTTCAGTCCGCAGGCCGATGCTCTATCCACTGAGTCAAACCGGTTTTGGCCAGAGTTGTCATTTTTATTCCTTTGGTTATTTTTAGTATTATCTTCAAAAAATTGTCTTTTAAAAATGCTGGTCTGTCTGGGTAGCTCCATATCCAGAACCTTAATGCTGGCATCTTCAATCACCAACTTCTGTCTCCCCAAATGTCAAGACTAAACTCTCAATTTTCTTAATCAAAGTTCATTAACCCTGTTCTTCTGTGGCCCAGGTCCTCTTGCCTCATTAGAAAGGTCTTCTTTACACGTATGCCATCTTATGTGCTGTGATATCTGGACTCACCTCCAACTGTCTCACTCACCTGCAAAACCAGCAGCCACCATTAACTATCACTTTCTATTACTCTTTAACAATATACTCAAGATTAATTTGATCTATAAATGATAGCTATAATCTAACAAGTTGCTAACTCTGATTGGTAACCAAAACTGTGACCACCACCAGCCTACTATATTTGGGCATTTAAAAAAAAAAATATATATATATCTATAGATATATAGATATATATATATATATAGATAGATAGATAGATAGATAGATATCATTGATTTTTTACAGAGAGGAAGGGAGAGGGATAGAGAGCTAGAAATATCAATGAGAGAGAAGCATCGATCATCTGCCTCCTGCATACCCTCTACTGGAGATATGCCCACAACCAAGGCACATGCCCCTAACTGGAATCAAACCTGGGACCTTTCAGTCCACAAGCCAACACTCTATCCACTGAGCCAAACCAGTTAGGGCATATTTGGGCATATTAATTTATGTTTTCAGCTCAGTTTTCTTTTCTTGTTTTTATATATATAGATACATTATTAGTTCTCCATTCCAGAATAAAATATTATCACGTAAACAACATATCTAGAATAAACATACTGACAAAAATGAAATACTAACCTAACCATGGATGGGATGAGATGGAAAGGGAGAGATGAGCCCTCCGGATATGGCAGGTAATCTGGGGAAAATCTATAAGAGCTGACTAGATCGGGGCACATCTGGTTTTAAGCATAGCATTTGGGGAGGGGAATAGAAGAGGGTAAAGGGGGATAAATGGTGATACTTGACTTGGGATAGAGAACACACAATAATACATTGTACAGATGATGTGTTGTGGAATTGTGCACCTGAAACCTGTGTAATTTTGTTAACCAGTGTCACCCCAATAAATTCAATAAAAAGGAAAAAAAATAAACATACCATTGGGTAGTTCTGTAAACGTCAGAGAATAACTACAGACCACGTCTGATTTATCGGTCCCATGCTGTGCTTCCATCTGTCCAAGACTGGTACAGCTGTGGGGGCAAAGGGAGTTAAATGCTTCCATTTTATATTCTTGTTTTTAAAAAATATATACAAAAGGCTCTAATCCACTAGACTGCTAGCTCCTTCAGGAGAAGAACCCAGGTCTTTCTGGACATTTGGATCCCCAGTGCCTGTCCACACATCTTGCAGGAAGACAAATGAATGAGCAAAAGTGAATGCTGCCAGTGTTTTCTAAGAACTACCCTCAGAGTAACAGTAGATTGATGTCTGTAGTACAGAAGATTCTAATGTTTCAATTGCCAGGGGATAAACTTAAAAAAAAAAAATGTCCTCATTGGTTTTAGAGAGAGTGGGAGAAAGAGAAAGAGAGAGATAAAAAGGTTGATGAGAGAGAGACATCAATTGACTGCCTCCTGCACACTCCCTTCTGAGGATGGAGCCTAAAAACTGGGCATATGCCTGACTGGGAATCAAACCAGTACCCTCTTGGCACATGGACTGATGCTCAACCACTGAGCAACACTGGCTGGACACTAAGTGATAAACTTTTTTTTTTTAAGTAATAAACTTTTGATGAATACTCTTTAGAAGTTCAAAACACAGCCATAACCGGTTTGGTTCAGTGGGTACAGCGTCAGCCTGTGGACTGAAAGGTCTTAGGTTCAATTCCGGTCAAGGGCATGTACCTTGGTTGCAGGCACATCCCCAGTAGGAGGTTTGCAGGAAGCAGCTGATCGATGTTTCTCTCTCATCGATGTTTCTGGCTCTCTATTTCTCTCCCTTTCTCTCTGTAAAAAAAAAGCAATAAAATATATTTTAAAAAATAATAGAAACATTAAAAAGTTCTAAACACTGAAAACCTTCTCAACATAAAACTTGGATAAATGGATTAGAAAATAAATATTCAATGAGAATTCATATATTGGGAACTGAAAGAATCATTATGCAACGAAAGGACCCAGGTTCCACTATAGATATACTAACATAAGTGTGAAGTACAATAGTATATACGAGGTGATTCATTCAAAACAATTAATTACTGCACAAGATTGAAAAACAACCTAAATGACTATCACTAGGAAACTTACCAACTTAGTTATGGCACATCATCTCTACAATGAAGTCTTACATATCTATAAAAAGCCATGAAGATCTAAGTGAACTAATATGGAATGAGCTTCCTTCAAGATATATTATGTGAAAAAAATCTCATGGTGTTTACAGTATACGAACATTTACGTAAACAGGAGGCTTCTTTATGCACATACACACATCTCTGGACAATAAAGCAGTGGTGTTGGGAGAAGTGTGTGTGTAAGGGAGGTCGTGAGTGAATGGTAACAAGTGTCATCAATCATTTTCAACTACATAAAGTCAGAAAAGGAGGCTGAAACGCTAAGTCGAAGACTGAGCCGAACTGAATCTACAAAGTAAGGCTTGTGTCTGCCACACCAGGTTGAAGGCTGGTTGGACGGGTTTATGTTGCCCACACTGAACTGACAGGCTTTTCCCATTCTGAATGTGCCTTCGAGGGGAAGCCTCACCAAACTCAAACACTCTGTGTCCAACCCGGGAAGGTTGAGTTGCTTAAAATCTGCACACTGCCTGGGCTTCTTCATGGTCACTTACTTGGTCCAGGGTTTGCATTTTTCTGTGGAAGAAAAGGCGTCGGAGAAATAGCCTACAAGGCAGGGCTCGCACACCGTGTCTTTGTTGAGCTGCACTGTCAAAAAAACAAAAGGACAAACAGAAAAAACAAAGCCAAACAAGGACACTTAGATATCAGCCAGGATGGTGGTCCCTCTGCCTCACACCTCCCCACCCGTCCCTGCCCTCCCTGCCTGTGGCTCATTGCTTCAGCCTCCACAGGCTTTAGAGGGCCCTCCAGGCCAGCCGTAGGTTCAGGGTTATTATTTTCAAGATAACCCTGTGTCAGGCCACTAATGCCAGTATCTGAGTTAGGTCCTGACCCTTTGCTGTTGAGGGCCACTGTCCTGGTCACTAATACTGTTTCCTAGCCGGGGAGCCTGCTGTCTACTTGCTTTAACCAAGCACCTGCCTGATCTCCCCTTTCAGCCTTTGGACTTACATTAACCTTGAGAGTGGCAGTCCTCTTACTGCTTGTAAGAACAAGTTCTTGACCTGACCTCTCTGACCAGCCTAATCTCACCAGTTCAAGCATGGGAGTGACAAGTTTTTTTAAACACACACACACACACACACACACACACACACACACAAAAAAAAAAAAAAAAAAAAAAAAAAAAAAAAAAAAAACAAAAAAAAAAAACCACACACAACTCCTACAGTTCTCTTTCTATGAAACCAGGGGCTGGTAGCAAACTTTTTTTTATAAAAGACCCATGGTAAATATCTTTTGCAGGCCTTCTGGCCTCTGCTACAAATACTTATAGCATGAAAGCATTCATAGGCAATGTGTTAAAAAAAAAAAAAAAAAAGGGATGTGGGATGTGGCTGTGTTCCAATAAGACTATTTACACAAACACAAGTGACGTGATGGATTTTGGACCCCTGCCTTAAGCCACAGCACTGAAAGCAGGAATTGATCCTGCTTAGTAAGCTTTCTTCAGCACTCTCTTATTCCACGCAAACTCTATTATTAAAATAGGAAGTGTCTCAGATTTCCTATGTCTATTAGCTGCTGACATGTGTAGACCTTTGGGAATTCCAATAAAGAACATTGACTACCGAGTGGTATCATGATCACGCAATTGACTTGCGCCAAAACCACAAAATACTCTTGAAATTAGTAGCACCTCTGTGATTACTTTGATGAATAAAACACTAAAATAAGAAATTACATGTTCTTTTTCCAGGGTCAAATGGAAAGTATCTTCTTGATTTCTGCAACTGCCTCAATAAATAGGATACCTCCCCCCACTTAATCTATTTGATTTGCCTGAAAATGATATTAACAAAAGCCCAGTTAACATCTAATCAACTCATATAAATTCAAACAGCTTTTAAAAAGATAATCATACTCTAGAAGAGCAACCCTTAAAAAACAAACAGACTTCTTAAGGGGCTACATGGCAGCAGAGCTTAAAGTTCATTGATTTCCCTACACTGGGCTTCCACATCTGTTCCTTGTAACTGACCTGCCTGGGGCATCCTGCAGGTTCCCTGTCCCTGTAAGAAGGCACACTCTTACCCAGTCCAAGTCCTAGGACGGTGCCAAACCTCTGAGCTGCCGAATGGAGCAACAAGTGGAAATACTGGTGAAGGCAGAGCACCTGCATTCAGGGTCTCTCAGTACTGTCCCTCCCTATCTAAGGACAAAAATGTGACAATAGAAACAGGGTAACTGGGACCAGGTGGACTTGTTCTCAATTCAGATACCATGGACCCTTGAACAATGTGGAGTTTAAGGGTCTTGACCCCCCTGTGCAGTAAAAAATCTACATATAACTTTTACTCCCCCAAAACTTAACTATTAACAGCCTTCTGTTGACTAGAAGCTTTACTGATAACATACACAATTTACATGTGTTTTGTAGGTTATATGTATTATATACTGTATTCTTATAATAAGCTAGAGAAAATAAAATGTTGTGAAGAAAATAAAAATCATAAACACTTACTGTATTGATCAATACTGTAAGTTTTTAAAATCTGCATATAAGCAGACCTATGCAGTTCAAACCTGTGTTGTTCAAGGGTCAACTGTACGGTGCAAGGTAGGGCAAGAGGCAAATTTTCATTCACCCATGTCATCCCCCCTGTCCTCCATCTATTGCCAAAGAATGACCCACTCCCACAGAAGCAAGGCGGAGAGAACAGCGGTCAGGAATAAAGCGGAAAAGGGGACAGCACCTTTTTTCATGCAGGTGACAAACTTGCAGAAAGGCTCTGGGCCTTGTCTATCTGAGAATCAGAATTCAGAAGGGAGCCAGCTGTCACAAGGAGATTCATTTTAAAAACTGAAAAATCAAGTCAACTTGGGGATGATCACTTTGTAAGTTATGTTAATGTCTGGTCACTGTTGTACACCTGAAACTAATGTAATGTTGTATGTTGACTGTAATTGAAAAATAAAAAACTTATTTTTTTTAAAAGCAAGTCAGACTTTTTTTTTAAGAGAAAGCTTGTCTGGTTTACTTGATATATTTGATACTCAGGATTGACTGTACCAGTTAGATTCTCTGATGGACACTTTCTTTATTATATACTGAAGTGAATAATATTTTAATTCTCTTAACAGTGTCCAAGTATTCTGGGTTTAAAAAAAATGCCTCCAAGGGAAAGATTAATGGGTATAAATACTAGTAAGTTGTTATGTCTTAAAGAAACTGCTTTGGTATACTTCCTAGAAATCAGGATGTAAGTGACGCTAAGACACACTTTTCTGATTCAAAAGATTATTTCTAGTTATTTACTTTCAACAAAACTGAAGGACACAGTTGAGTTCTTAACTGAGCAATTGTTAAGCACAACTTTGATGTCACATCACTGTGGGATCTGGGACACGTCACTCAGAAAGTACTGATAGGATTGAGGACACTCTTGTCAAGGGAGTCCTTCCTTAGCTATTTATGCGAACAAGTTTCTCAGCACTTAGTGGAAACAGAATTGATCTTGAATTTTGTTGCATTTTAGCAATAAATTTTATTCAACCTGGAAGATATGAACTAATTGGGGGGGGGAAGACCAAAAAACCAAAAAACCTCCAATAGCTCTGAAGTTTGTAAAGACTTTACTTTTCAAATAATATAGCAAAATATAATATATTCATTCTTGACCTATTGTGTAATAACTGCAGTAACAATTTGGTCCAGAAGAAGTGTTTTTAACCCCTAGAACTCCGAATCACAAGAAAAAATTTAAAGTTAAGATTTCAAATAGGTGCATAATTTTGGATACGAAAGAATATGAAAGGTGATTAGCAAAAACCCTCCAAGCACAAAAATACATTAGGATGAAATTCTGCAGGGAAGGTGAAATGAATACAAATCAAAGGAAGGGAAGAAACTATATCTTTCCCACAGGTGAGGCGATGAGTGCATTGTAAAACAGATTACGGTGTTGGTGTTGATACTCCACTGAAAAATTTAGAATGTGTTACTATTGCTAACTTTCCCTAGAAGCGAAATCCTTAGCAACTCTTTAAATTTGTAATAAAAATGTTGATCTATCAAGTTAAAAATATGCTAGGGGGTGCATATTTTTTCAAAGCTCTGCTAAGCGGATGCACAAATTTGTGGGTTTGTGTGTGTGTGTGTGTGTGTGTGTGTGTGTGTGTGTGTTTGTTTTTGTTTCTTTTTAAATAGTTGGAAGACCCCTGCGTTATCGGGTTCTGTCCTAAGCGGAGAGCATAAAGCTTCGCAGATGGAGGAGCCCTGAGAGCAGCAGGTGGGCCAGGCGCTCAAAGGTCCTTGTTAGAACCAAACCTGAGGCTTCGCTCTCTGTGGACCCTCAAGCTCCTCCAGCGCCACCTGGCTCCCCGGAGCGTGTATGACGCAGGGAAGCCCTCTCAGAACCTGCTTTGGCCTCCAAGTGATTGCAAGGCTCGGTGAGAGGGGGTGACGCGGGAAGCAAACCCCGTACCCGGGTGCGGGGCGCCGAAGCCGGGCGCGCACTCGGCGTTGCGGCGGCAGCAGTCGCAGTCCTCGCTCCAGTGGTAGCCGGCCGTGCAGGCGCAGCGCCGCGGGGCCGTCCGGTTCCCGGGCTCCACCGCCACCAGGGCCTTGCCTGCAGGCGAGAGAGGCAGGGCAGTGAGGCAGTTCGAGGATGCATGGGTGGGGATGCACCCCAAGCCAGTCCCCCACCCCCAATCCCAATTCCCCCAGTGCAGTGCCAGGCCTCCTCCCGGACATGGAGGCTTTCAGGAGCATTGGAGACCCTCAGCTTCCTGTGCTGGCGCTGAAACATCCCAGTGGGGGTTTCACTCTTAATAATTAAATTACTATTTTTAAAAGTAAAAATTCGTGTTAGTAGGAAAACTAAGGGCTGGAAGCTGGAAGTTTATGATCACTGATTACTAATGCGAAGTAGACTTCATAATCTCTCGATTTTTAGTAAATTCAAGCGTGATAAATAGCCTTCACCTCCGTGACCGATAGGACCTAAAAGAATGGGGTTGCTGGAGATCGGGTTCCTCCTGAGATTCTGCAGGGCCACAGTGATTCAGAGTCCGAAGACTGGGGTCACTGTGCGATTAGCTAAGTGCACGAGTAGAGAGGTGGGACGTGCAGACATTCTTGGAAACTCGTCTCTCCCACAATAATAATAATACATTTGTCTTTCCTCACACTTCACAGCAGAGTGCCCTCCTGTTACCCCGATCTCCTGGGTCTCCAGTCTTTGTGCGAGGTGACTGCCTCACACACAGCTGATCCTCATTAGCCACTGATTCAGATCTGCAGTTTCACCTGCTCCTTAAAGTGTCATCATAGCACGGGAGGGGGGGGTGGAATTTCAGCCCCTGGGTACCTGCTAGGTGAGGGTGAATAAGGTAACACGTTCTGCCTTAGTATTTCAGCTCTTATACTGGAAACGTGTTCTTTTAGTGGTCTTTTTAGAGTCTTTTTTTTTGGGGGGGGGGGCATTTTTGTGTTTTTCATTGGTGATTTCACTGTTTAAAATGGCCTCCAAGAGCTAAGGCGCTGTCTAGCGCTTCTAAGCCTGAGGAGGCTGCACTGTGACTTATGGACAAAATATTTGTTAGAAAAACTTGGTTCAGGCATGAGTTAGTTACAGCGCTCTTGGTTGTAAGTTTAATGTTACCGAGTCAAAATATTTCTTACATAAAGTGTCCTTAAACAGAAACACACATAAAACAAGGTTATATGTTGATCAGCTGACAAAAACCCTGTGACCAAAGGCTCATGGGAACCTGTATTCTCCTGGGAACGGCAGTTCAGTATTTGCTAGTTCAGTGTTTGTGGTGATTGTATAGAACATAAATGCACTGAATGGTGAGAATCAACTACACAAAAACACAACACAGCACAGTAACATTACTTAAAACAGCTCTTCCACCCTGTAGGACACATCTCACCAGATCGTCCAAACAGCCCTTGTGCTATGTAGTCCTGAACACTTCTCGGAGTTTGTTATGGACTGATATTTGTGTCCCCTCAAAATTCCTATATTGAACTCTTAGCCCTCAATGTGAAGGCATTAGGAGGTGGGGCCTTCGGAAGGTGATTAAGTCATGAGGGTGGAGCCCTCAAGAATGGGATTGGTGCCCTCAATCAGAAAGACAACAGAGAGTTTGCTTCCTCTCTCTGCTCTCAGCCATGTGAGGGCCCAACAAGAACACTGCTGTCTTGAAACCTCACTAAGAACCCAGCCACACTGGCACCCTGATCTTAGACTTCCAGCGTCCAGATGTAACTGGAAGATGTAAATGTTTGTTGTTTAAGCCACTCAGTCTGTGGATTTCTGCTATAACAGCCTGAACTAGAACAGAGTTCCATGGGGGAAAGAAACAGACAGGAAACGGAGAAACCTGGTCCCTCCTTAACTGTCTAAGTGGCAGCCAGCAATGCGGGGAGGGAAGGGGCACATTTCTTATTCCCATTCCTGGGCCCAAGCACGGTGAACCTGGGGAAATCTCCATTTCCTTCCCATGCTCTGAGGCCCAGGCCAGCTCAGCGACACCAAGGCCAGTGTGTATAAACATGCGCACGATGCCTGGAACACACATGGACACTGTCGCGTCCTTGAAAAATTCTAATTCCAATATCCCACTCAAATGCAAGTGAATGTAAGCCTGGCACATCCTTGAATATCTTAATGAACCAGGCTTTGCACTTTAACCAGTTTTGGCCGTAGACAGATGATTCTTCATTTCCAAGAGACAGCAATGAGTCAAGGTCATTACTAAGTCGTGGGAAAGAAAACAGACTTGATCAGATGCTTCTGCTCAGTGGAGTTTCCATGTTATCTTCTCCAAACAAAACCTGCCAGTTGTCTCTAAAACATTAGGAAAATTATGGTTTTGAAAAATATTTATTTCCTAGTTCTTTCTACTGGGAAAGAGAAAAACCTACACGTAAGAATCAATCCAGAACCAATGACCCTCCAAAGCAACCAGGTCAAGATCTCTAGATAAGATGTTCCCTAACCAGTTTGGCTTAGTGGATAGAGCATTGGCATGTGGACTCAAGGGTCCCAGGTTTGATTCTGGTCAAGGGCATGTACCTTGGTTGCGGGCACATATCCAGTGGGGAGTGTGCAGGAGGCAGCTGATCAATGTTTCTCTCTCATCGATGTTTCTACTTCTTCCTTCCTCTCTGTAAAAAATCAATTAAAAATACATATGTTTTTTAAAAAGATGTTCTGCAGAAAGTGATCAGGAATTCCTGGAGAAATGACTGGCTCCAAGTACAGGGCAGGAGGTGTCCCAACGTGAGCCAGGAGGCAAGGGAGCTCTTCAAGATACCTGGGGTTGTACCAAAGGTGAGACCACCTGGGGGTGGGAAGAGCTGAGCACCAGGAAAACTAATGACTGCAGCAGACTGAGACACCCTAGATATGTCTAAATTCATGAATTCACAATATTCATACAAATCCTTTGGAGAAAGCTGGATGATCAAGTCACTGTTTTGAAGAGTGGTAAAGTTGCAGCATTCATTCCGCCTTTCCTATACATAGTGTACTTCAGAGTAATGAATCATTGATGAGGGGAACTTCCCTTTACAAAGCAAGCCAGCTGAGAAATGAAGGAATGATAGAACTGGATCGTTGCCTAATGAAAATGGACCGAAGCCGTGATTGTCAATAGCTGCTAATGTCACATACAGAGAGAAAAGCAGCTGTTACATGGTTCCTGACATAACTACATTTTACCAACTACAAAGGAGTTTTACCAAAAACAAAACAAATAAAACAAATCAGAATCTGAGCAGCCTTCTAGATCTCACAACCACTTTATAAGAAATGTATGTGATACCTTAATCAATAAAGAAATTAATTGGGGGGGGGGGAGAAATGTAGGAGACGGAAGAAAAAGCTAAACAGCACCAAGGTGATGCAACCAGCAGCAGCTAAGCTGTGGGAACCACAGGACCAACCACAGGCTTTCTCCCAGGTAAACTGCATGGGGAAGGGAAGAAGAGGAAGGAAAGGAACCTGTAAGTTGAGACTTAAAAGGCAAGTTTTGATCCAGATTCCTGAAAATAAACTATAATTTTTAAAAATTTGAGGGGAAAAGCACACACACACACATGCACACACATCACAGCAGCCTAATAAAAAGATCAAACTGTCAAGTTAATAGGACATTTATCATTTAGGAAGAAGACTCGAGAGTCGGAAGACCTGACTTGGAGTCCTGCTTCGCACTGGATAACCTTGAAGTCATTTGACCTCTATTAGTCTCAATTTTCTTCATCTTTAAAATGAAGATGGGTTCATTTTACCTCACAGGGGTTTTTGTGAGGATTAAATAACAAGACACCCATGGAAACACTGGGGAAATATTTTGTCAACTCCAAGATGTGTTCCATGATTAAACTGCAACACAAACATAGTCCAGAATCAAAGTTCTCAGAGAGGAATTTGAACACGGTGCTGCTGGGAGCTGAAGCCCATCCTGCTGTGGCCAGACTCCTTCCTCTGTCCCCCAGAGACACAGCACTGCTGGATCTGAAAACGCCATTATCCCCACTCCCTGCTGGCATGATGGGCTCACCTGTATCGCAGACTTTGTGCAGCAAGCATTTGTCTTCTTCATTCCAGGTGTCCAAGTATTCATCCCTGCCGCAGGGCAGACAGACACTTTCCGAGGTAGTAGTGCATTTGGCAGACATGTACGTTCCTTAAATTAGAAGGGGGAAATACTCTCATCAGAAAGATCCCAAAAAGAAAACAGCAAAAATGCACCAATTTACTGGACCATTTACATGGCCACGGTCCCCGGAAGTCCCCAGAGACAGTGTGATTCAGGAGACAGGGCCGCATCTCCCAGGGATGCTCCTCGGGCTCCCGGCTGGATGAAATAGCCTCTCTGGGCTGCTGGGCCTGTGGTCCCGGCGTCTTTTAGTTCTTCCATGGGAAAGGTCATCCTTTCCACCCCGAACCTCTGCTGAGTAAGGTAAAGAACAAGGGTTTCCAAACTGGGGGCTGTAGAATTGGAGAGCTTCCCTGGGGGCTAAGCATGAGGGGTTTCATTTCATCCCTCCCCTCCTATCTTCAGAATGTTCCCTGTCGATCTGGACACACCACACACACACACACACACACACACACTGGATCTTGGTTCTGCACATCCAAGAAATATTTGTAGCTGAGATATCTACGCAAGCATGTCAAACTCGTGGCCGTCGGGCACATGTCCCAGCCGCGAGGTTGACATGCTTGAGGGTCTTGTTTACTACCTTTTCCTCAGAGAGGTGGTCTCCTCCCCAGAGCAATGAGTGCATGGGACCCCTTGGACTTGGGAGTTCACTGGGGCTACAGAGATGTGTGGCCACATTCTGGCAGAACAAGTTTGGGGCAGTTGTTGTCACCAGCCCACCTTCGCTCCTCGGCAGGCATGTGTGTGGGGAGAAGGTGTAACGGTGTAGGCAATGTCAGCAGCAACAATTCCGGTACGGCTCCTCCTCCCCAGTTCTTTAATGTGACGGTACTTTTCAATAAGAGGTGAATTTCTTATTTTGAGAGTTTGAATCACAAAGTGCTAAAACATGCTTTTAGATGCCTTCTTTTATTCCCAAGAAATAGTGTTTTGGAAAAATAGCATTCCAGCATGAATGAAGTAGCAGCTTATGAAATTGCTTTTCATTTTTAAGTGATTTTATCTTCTAAAAGAAAGTTTTTTATCTCCCGAGTGACAGACATTACCACCTGCCATTACCATAAAAAGTGCATCCAATTTCTTTTTTCATATGGCAGATAGAAATCATTCCTTAGATATAAAAAAAAAAAAAGCAAAAAAAAAAAAAAAAAGCCCCTTTTACTCCTGAAGGACAGTGAAAGGAAGCTCAGAAGTACAGACCTGGCTCACATTTGTTGCAGCACCGTCCAAAACGCTCATAGTGCCTCTCGCTGGCACATGGAGGGGTGATCTGAAAAGTCACCTGAAAGAAAATGACACCAGGCAGAGGTTATGCACAAGTTCTTCCTGAATAAAACAAATAAACAAACAAACAAAAAAATGAATCATCAAATTAACATAAGAAAACATGAGAAAACACCACAAGCCATCCTGAGATTGCTCAATGTAATGTTATTAGCCCCTCCCAAAAGCCACTTTCCTATTCTAGCCCATTCCCCAAAAATATACACAACAAACAGATCCTGGCATCAAAATCCACTTAAACATGTAAAAGTATTTTGGTTATGCTCATGGCAATATGAGAAATTAAAGGAAAACTGACAAACTGGATGCAGAAGTGTGAACACTGCATTAGACAAGCCACATAGGAAATTGGCCCCATGTCTGTGGGTCACATGATGGATGACATGCTCAGTCAGCTTTGATCATAAACTATAGGAGGTCCCTTAGCAGGTACAGATGGGCAGAAGCAGACTTAGAGTTGTTCGCATGGGAAATAACAAAACAGTTAATTAATAATACAAGATAAACTGTTTCATGTGCTCACAATATAAACCTACTCTTGTCCACCCTTGTGTATTACACAAGGGGATCTCAAATTTGGTCTTATAAGCTACCTCTGATTTCTTTTTCTTTAAAAAAAAAAAATATATATATATATATATATATATATATATATATATATATATATATATATATAATTGATTTTTTACAGAGAGGAAGGGAGAGAGATAAAGAGAAAGATCAATGAGAGTCAGCAATCAGCTGCCTCTTGCACGCCCCCTACTGGGGATGTGCCTGCAACCAAGGTACATGCCCTTGACCAGAATAGAACCTGGGACCCTTCAGTCCACAGGCTGATGCTCTATCCACTGAATCAAACCGGTTTCTGCTACCTCTGATTTCTAAAAGATGTTTAACTCTGCAAACCTTTTAAAATGTTAAACATGCAGAGAATATTAAAAGTGGGACACCAAGCTGTGATAGGAGCTCTATGGGCTGGGAGCCAGGAGGCCTGACCGCCTGCTGGCTGAGGGACCCTGATGAACTGCTTTTTTGGGTCTCTGTTTCCTCTCTGTTTGATCTAGTACAAAGGCTAATTTCCAAATCTGCCCTGTAAGTAAAAACAAACCAAAAGGCCAAGTCCCGTACATTCACTCAGATTCTTATCAATGTGCCACATAAAAACTCTTTTCAGCTTACTTGGTGTCAGAAAAAAAGCACGCGCTGACAGGCCATCATGTGGAAACTAATAGTGAAACTGGACAGCTGAAGAGACACCAAGGATGCCCTGGGACCCAAAGGTACACGCTTGCCCACCAGGAGCTTACACCCTGGGTGTGCTCTGATGGAAGCCCAGGGCCCCTGCGTCCCTGAGGCCTGGGGCAGGTTTCCTGAGGCTCCTGACAAGTGAGCTCGCCTTGCAGGATAAATAAATAATAGTTGGCCAGATGGGGGAAAGGCAGGTGGCGGTAGGGACAGAGGGAAGGAAGACTTAAGAGATTATGAATAGTTCAAACAGAGGCACTGAGGTCTGAAACGGCATATGGGGTGGAGCGGGGTGGGTGGCGTGGGATGAACGTCAGCGGACTTGGGGGGAGATGAGCACAATGACACAGGGAACTTCCTCTGTACGTGGATGGAAGGTGTAGAAATCACATAGTTTAGAAGCTACACATCCTCAAAATGCCTCCGTTATGGAAGGAACTTCCATAGAGAGAGCACCCGTGAACCCCAGGCCGGCTGAGTGACCTCACCTGGCCCTGCAAAGGGCTTACAGGAGGGAAGACGGGTCCAGGATGCTTACTTTGAGGTCGATGAGAAAGTCAAACATGTTCCTGGAGCCAAAAAGCTTGTATCCAGACTTGCTGCCTTAGGCCTGGCTCACATGCCTGTGGACACTGGGTAACATGAACTAGATGCTCCCCACGCTTTCACCACATGACAGGGGCTCAAGGACCAAACATCAGCCCGGTGGGAAGTAGGAAGAATAACGAACCAGAAATCACAGCACCACTCCTTCCTGGTTTCTTTTCTCTTTGCTTTTAGAGGAACCTGTTTCTCTGTGGGCTGTTGTGCCCCTTCTGTGTCTGGCACAGTCACGCATGCGCAGGGGAGGGCAGGAGCAGAGGGGAAGGAGGTCGGCGCACATTGGTGGGGTCGGATGCCTGTGAACCCTGCTGCAGTGCTGATGACAGCGGCAAAGAGATAACGATGTGGTTGGGCTGTGTTTCAGATGAGAAAGGTTATCAATGGCGTCTGACCCACAAGAGAGCTGCAGCAGTCTCTGTAAGATAAGCGCACACGCTGCGTAACATACGCAGAAAGGTTCTTTTTCGGGGAATTCGGTACAGGGCTACCCTGAAGCAGTGGTGCAGGCACACAGGTGCTAGCCGTGTCCCGGGCTCCAGATTCTGGTTCCTGCTGAGCACGTGGACAATCTCGTTACATGCCTAGGAGTGTGGCTGTGATTCACTCAAACCGTCTAACCCAGGCTTTCACCTCCCGGCAAAAATGGGGAAGTCACTGATTCCAGAGGTGACCAGAGGTCCCAGTTCCTAACCAGATTGTCACAGATTACTCCTTAGGATTCATTTCTGTCTCCTAAGCTTACTGAGGCTTTACCTAGACACGTCTTCTTTTTCTAAATCGGAGATACAATTCCTATACCATGCAACTCAGTCTTTAAAAGGGTACAGCTTGCCGAAACCGGTTTGGCTCAGCGGTAGACCGGTTCGGTCTGTGGACTGAAAGGTCCCAGGTTCGATTCCGGTCAAGGGCATGTACGTTGGTTGCGGGCACATCCCTGGTAGGGGGTGTGCAAGAGGCAGCTGGTCGATGTTTCTCTCTCATCGACATTTCTAGCTCTCTATCTCTCTCCCTTCCTCGCTGTAAAAAATCAATAAAATATATTTAAATAAATAAATAAATAGGTACAGCTTGCCCTCGCCAGTGTGGCTCAGTGGATAGAACATCAGCCCACGGACTGAAGGGTCTCCGGTTCGATTCCCGCAGAGGGCACATGCTCTATTCCCCACTCTGATTGAGGCCTGTGCAGGAGATAACCGATCGATGTGTCCCTCTCACATCGATGTGTGTGTCTCTAAGTCAATGCAAAGAAATATCCTTGGGTGAGAACTAATAACAACAAAAAAGGGGGGCACAGCTCAGCAGTGGTCATGCAATGGCTGCTGCTATTGAATTCCAGAGCATTTTCCTTACCCCCAAGCTGACAGGTCTGCTAGACAGACCTGCAGGATTACAGGTCTTTTAAGGAGCAGCAGCATTTTTGCTCCTGGGAAAATCGGCTGTGGGAGGCAGAAAATCACGGTGTTAACCTAATCTAAGGTACAGCTGAAACAGAGCCTGACTTTGTTCTCCGGGGACATTCTCTGCTTTGCAGTACACCTTCAGCTTTCAAAACGGCAATGAATATACCACTTAGAAAACAACAGTCATACACAGAGATATATTTAAGGGAGCATGGCTTGGGGATAAAGAGAATGTGGGAAATTCTCTGAAGGTGCCTGCACATCCAGGAGGCTGTGCCCTCGTGGTCCTCTCTCCTACTGGGTCCTGACTGTCTGCTTCCAGCATTATGAACCCCCTTTCCCCCCAAACACACACACACACACACACACACACACACACACACACAGCAGAGCCCGCTCTAGAGGAACCCTCTGTTAGAGGAGGAGCAGCTCCCCAGGTCTCGCCCAGCATGCAAAGCCCACCCGCTCCTGGGCTCACCCAGATCCTGTGCAGAACCTCCTGGGACAGGCTCCCCACGTTGCTGTTTGCACCACAGTCCTGTGTGTGTGACTACCAGGAAATCCAGTCAGACTTCCTGGCCTGTCTTTGCTGGTCCCCCGGGGACCTATCGCTCAATACTGTAGCCCAGACTGGCTCTGTCGCCTGACTCCCAGATTCCAAGTGTCTTAGTCCCACCTGCTTGGCTCGGCTTCCTGTTAGCCTGTGCTGGATCTCATTCATGCCCGTCTCCCTGGCAGGCCTGCTGCATGTATCCCCCTAACGCAGTGGTTCTCAACCTTCCTAATGCCTCGACCCTTTCATACAGTTCCTCATGTTGTGGTGACCCCCAACCATAAACCATAAAGTTATTTTCGTTGCTACTTCATAACTGTAATTTTTCTACTGTTATGAATCATAATGTAAATATCTGTGTTTTCTGATGGTCTCAGGTGACCCCTATGAAAGGTTGAGAACCGCTGTCAGGGGTCGCCTGAGACCATCAGAAGACACAGGTATTTACATTTACGATTCATATCAGTAGCAAAATTACAGTTATGAAGTAGCAACGAAAAAACTTTATGGTTGGGGGTCATCACAACATAAGGAACTGTTTTAAAGGGTCTTGGCATTAGGAAGGTTGAGAACCACTGCCCTAAAGGCATTTTTGTATGTGAAAGAATGAATGTTCTTCAGCCCCTCCCAGTCTGGCCTCTCATTTCCCTGAGGAATTCTAGTTCAATATCTACCATCTCACCAGCAGCTGGGGAGAGCACCCAGGCTGCCCAAGTCCCTCCTGAGCCTCGAGCCCTTCCCCTCCAATGGCTCAGAATTTGGACCCAGCTCCATCCTCTAAGACCAAGCTCCCAATGGCTGTGAGGTGGTGGCTCTCACAATTGGCAGCAATTCCAGCAAGGCAGGCATTGATAAAAGCATGCTCCTGCTTGGGCGGTACAGAAATAATCTCTGGGGGAGCAGCGGGGTTCAGCACAAGTCTGCAGTTCTCAGGAAATGGTGTGGTGTGATCCTGTCAGCCACCGACCCTCTCGTGCAGCAGCCAGAAGTCAATCTAGATTTGTTTCTAGTTCACCTTTAAAAGTGAATTGTTTCCTTCTAAAACAACAGAGCTTTTGAACCATAGTTGTTTTCATTAAGCAAATAAAGCAGAACCGCTTTAAAATTGTTTATTTGCTGAAGAAAGGATACAGTCACATAACACACAATGTAAAAGCTTCCACAGGCTCTGGGGGAGTCTCCCTCCCCGGCAGCCCT